TTTTGGTTTTTCTCTGGTACCGGGAACCGAACTCACGACCTTGCACTTGCCAGGCAGGCGCTTTTGCCGCTGAGCTAAATCCCCAGCCCCCTAAAAAATTTTTTTTTAAATTATGAGTCAGGTTCTTGCTAAGTCATTGAATTTCCCAGGCTTAATTCTAACTTGTAGTCCTCCTGCCTCAGCCTCCCAGAATGCTGGGATTCCAGGTATGTCATACCTGGCTCCTATTTCATCTTTTGTATGTAAATTGTGTTTAGTTTTTGTCTGTTTGGTCTTTTGTTGGTTGACTTGAAGAATCTTTTACACTTTTAAAGAGATATGCCCATTGCTATAGGAGTGGCATATGTCCTTTTCCTATTTATAGTGATTTCTCTTCCTTATAGATTTTATTTTATACATGGAATTCACCCGTCGTTAAGAGAGATACAAATTGGAACCATGTTTGAGTAGAATGGCTGATAAGTTGGACTTTGCCATTTGCCAAAGATAGCTTCATTTCTTTTTATTGCCATATAGTAAGGAGACTTAAAAAATGGAATCAGTGCGGGATGTGATGTCACTCTCCTATAATCCCAGCACTCTGGGAGGCTGAGGCAGGGGGGTGGCAAATTTGAGCCCAGCCCAGGCAATTTAGTGACTTAGTAGACCTTGCCTCAAAATAAAAAAAGGACTGAGGCTGTAGCTCAATGGGAAGGCTCTGGGTTCAATCCCCAGAACCACACTTGTGTACACACACACACACACACACATACACACACACAGCCCTGCATAAAGCATGTTCATATCATGCTTTTGACGTTTTGCTTTTCTCCAAACTAGATTTATCTGCAACCTAAAAAAAAAAGGTTTTGGGGGTGATTTGGGGAATTCTCCCACCGGCTTGAGTAACAGAAGACTCAGGATTTAATTGCAGAGGGAAACAGACTGAGAGAGGTTAGTAAGTCCGATGCTTGTGGCCTCCGCTTCCCGCAGGGCAAGTGTGGGCAGATTCTGAAATCTCCTTTTAATAGCTCTCTCTCTGAGCCATTTCTCTTCTTTCAGATTTAGGCTTATCAAACTGCGGGGGGACAGAAGGTGAGTGGGAAGCAGGGGGCTCAGATTTCTAAGAGGCGAGGACTCCTGTCTTCACACCCCACCAAACCCGATCAGGGGCACCGAAGAGGCAGGAGAGGTCAGAGAACTTGCTCAGGGTCACACCGCGAGCTGATGGTGGGGGTAGAAACGCCAGTCAGATCTCCTGGAGCCAGCGGTACAGTGCCCTCTTCTTCCCTTCTGCCTGCAGCAGCTCGCGCCTTGGCGGCGGGGCCGCGGGCGCAGCCACTCCCCCGGCTTCCCCAGCCAGTCAGAGGTCGGGGCTCGGCGTCCCCTGCTGGCTTGGAGCTCCTGGCGCGCCCAGGACCGCACGGTTTGCTCAGTGGAAGGTCTGACCTTCTTCCGCGTTCCCAGAGCCCCAGCCCGGGACTCCCGGAGCCCCCACCTCCTCTCTTTCTGAGCATCACCGAGTTTGTCTTCGAGCAGGGCCGGAAAGTGGCTCCGAGCTCTTGGCCGAGCGATCAGCCTCACGCCCCAGCGTCAGGGATAAACCCGACCGCAGCAGCCGCTTCCTCAGTTCCTACAGCGCTTGACTTCTGCTTCGAACCCCGGGACGCAGACTTCCCCGGGAATCACTGCCCTCATTTCACAGACAGGGCGGGGAAGGGGCCTGCTGCAGCTCTGGAAAGTTGTATGGGATGCCCGGGCTCACGAAGCTAATAATAATGCTAACTAACTAAGATTGGGTGCTTCCTGTGGCTCAGGCACAAGTCTACCTACCATCACTCAGATCCTCCCAATCAATACCCGTGTAAAACCGGCACAATCATCATCCCCATCTCACGGATGAGGACACCGAGGTTTGACTCCTTGCCCAAGGTCACCCAGCCGGCGACTGATGGATGCTGGACACAAACCTAGGCGAGTGACTCTGGAGGCAATTTTTTGCTCGGTCTCCACGACACGGATTAGCAAATCATGGTCCCAGAGGCCGATCCCAACGCCCCAAAGCTGCGCAAACCAACCGGCTTGGACTGCCATAATCCGCAGAGAAAAATTCCCCGGGATCGCGATCAGAAGGACGCCAGGAGCGTTAACCGTGACGATGCCCACCCGCACGAAGTCCGAGCGGCCGGATCTCAGCCCCCGACCCCCACGCGCCCCTTACCAGGCGCTGAAGAATACTCACCATAAAAGAGAGGGCGAGCGCCACCCGGGAGGAATCCCCAGCACTGGCAGGTCCCGGGCTCGCAGGAGAGACGTCTGCTGCCTCCGCTGCCCACTCCGGGGCGCCCAAGCAGCCCTGCAGATGCTGGCTTCCTCCGGAGAGCCAGCGGCGCGTCTTCACCGCTGGTGCCCGGCAGCAGCGCCCGCTCTGCCCAGCAGGGTGGCCTGGAGTTGGGAGCGTTCTTGGCGAAGTTGGCGCTCAGGCGCTGCGAGAGAGGACGCCTGGAGTCGGGTGCAGAGTGGGGAAAGCGCCTCTCCGCGCCGATCCTGGGGGCGCGCCGAGGCCCGCGCTCTAGCCGCTCCGGAGCTTGGCGCCTGACCTGGAGGGCAGCGAATCCCGCGCTCAGGGCGCACGGGCCGAACCTCGGCCGCCGACCCCCGGCGTGCCCAGCGTCTTCCCCAGAGCACCGGGCGCACACGGCGGCGCCTGCATCTGGGGCCCGGGCTGCAGTACGCTCATCGCCTTCCCCAGGGTCTGGGCGCCTTTGTGCGCGGGGTGTGCCGGCCGCCACGGCCAGCTCTGGATGCTGCAGCCGCCGCCGCCGCCTCCCCTCCTCCGCCGCCGCCTGCTCCCCGCCTTCCCGGCCGGCCCGAGGCTGCAGCTGAAAGCCGATCCGGCTGAGCTCATCCCTGAAGGCCACTAATCCAATAGCCGAGGAAGGCGCGGCCGCCGGGAACGCCCCTTCCCCCACCATCCCGCGCCCCGGCCGTCCCAGCTAGGGCCGCTGCCGGCGCCGCTGCCTTCTCGTGGCCACCAGCTGGCGGGAGAGGGAAGTGGAACCCTCGTCCGCTCCGGAGCTGAAGCGGCACGGTAGCCATTCACTCACCCGCGCGCTCCCTCACGCACTCATTCATGAGCGCGGGTCCCTCCCCATTCATTCAAGCACGCCTGGAACGCCAGAGGGGGTGCCCCTGAGGAGGAGGAGCAGGCGCAGTCACTGGATAGCTGGTTCCTCTACTCAAGGAACGTGGGAAACAGCAGCCGGGAAAAGCAAACGGTTTAATAGGTCCTCGCCTTAGACACACGCATGTTCACACTTTATTTTTGAGGCCAGGCTCCAACTCATCTTTTAAAATCCAATTTCGTACTGCACCTGCTTCCCTGCACCGTCCCCGCCCACTCGAAGCTGAAGCAGCTGCATCACAACTCCCGGGGCTGCTGGCGCTGGTGGTCAGCCGCTTCACTGAGCGCCCGGAGCACAAAGATAAGCAAGAGGGCGTGGCCAGAGAGACAGACCAAGGGTGCTTCTGAGGTTCTTGCTTCCTTGGGGAAACTGAAAATTCCTGACTTGGTTGCTCTGCTTGTGATTCCAGAGTTGACATCGGGCCACTCCACGGTCATTTACTGACACCAGCCCACTCTGTACCAGGCACCGGCAGAGAGCCTAGACTGGTTAGAGAAAGCCTATTTTATCAGGAACATACAAACCAGACAGAGACAATCCAAGCGGAGAGGAAGATGTTTGAAGGGGACTCTGAGGCTCTTCTCCCAGCCTGGGAAGGGCAATCTGGCAAGGTTTCCTAGTGGAAGTGGTCGCGGAAGTGGTCACATGAATCAGCTCCTAGTCACAGGGAGAGAGCATAGCCCTGTGGCAACGAACTACACAGTGCATAGCCTGTGCTATGACTGGAGTGTGAGCAAAAGGAAGTTAAGATGAAGCTGGAGGATTGCCTAGGGTCCTGGGGACAGGACGGTGCAGGGAAGCAGGTGCAGTACGAAATTGGATTTTAAAAGATGAGTTGGAGCCTGGCCTCAAAAATAAAGTGTGAACATGTGTGTGTCTAAGGCGAGGACCTAGACCAAAAGATTTGGCCTTCATGAGTTGGGGAGTTTATTGACCTTGTCAGATTTACTTTTCAGAAGGATCTCTCAGCAGCAGGGTGGATGGATGGATGGATGGATGGATGGGTGGATGGATGCATGGATGGAGTAAATCAGTTTGGGAGCTACTGCGGAAGTCTAAACCAAAAGAAATGATGTTTTCATGAACTGCTGAGTGGGGTGACAAAAATGATGTGCTAACCGGTTATTGATTGTCCTCATTCTGCTGTCTCATCATCATCTGTTTATATGTTAGTCTTCCTTCTAAAAACTGAAGCCCTGTTGGGCAAGTACATGTGTCCTGTTCATCGCTGGATGCCCACCTTTGCCCCCAAGAGCTGTTGAGGACGTGATTTGAACTGGCCTACTTAACAATGCCGCGTATACTCAGACTTTCTGTCTTCCCTGGGATCTTCTTCCTATCCCTGTTAGAAAGCTCCTGAGCACCTATCCTCCCAGCCATTGTTGGGATGGACATGGTTGGGCAGGGAGAAATGAAAATTTGAGGGAAGAGTAGAGCAAAGCGGAGCTTAAGCAAGTCTTTCAAGCTGCTGCTCCCTGCCTGGACCCCAATCCAATCTGGCTGATGGGAGAAGCACTCATTTTTTTCCCTTCCTACTGGGTAACATCATGTCAGCTAATGTCCTCTCTCCCTTTTGGCCAGTGTCCTTAAATCTAAAGAGAAGTTCCACCTACATGGCGAAGATCTTCCCTTAGATTTACAGGATCCTGTGAATCTGGTGACCTTTTAATGCCTCTGTTTAGTCTTTAGTTCCATGCATTAATTAATCAAAGCATGTGAATTATCGTGAAGTTTAACTTGTGGAAAAGTAATCCGTCTGTCCAAAGAACTACAAAAACTAGCCCAGGAAGTTGCAGTCCATTTCAGTGTTCCTAACAGAGAGAGAGAAAGGAGACACACATCTCGGGTGACGAGGACCCTCTCAACGTCTCAACATGTGCTCTTCTTTTTTTTTTTTTTTTTGGTACCAGGAATCAAACTCAGGACCTTGTGCTTGCCAGGCTGATGCTTGTGCTGCTGAACTATATCCACAGCCCGAACATGTGCTGTTCTTATGCTGCTCCTCCTTTCCCTCTTTATAAAGCTGTTTGTATCTCTGAGCCCCAGAAGATGGAGCTTTAAAGTTGATAGCCCTCCCATCTTCTTAAGATTCCCAGCCCTTGAATAAACCCAATTCCTTCCTACCACCTCTTACCTCCCAAAAATTGCCCTTTGAGCAATGGGCAAATTGTGATTCCCATAACAAGGTCAGTGGCCACAATTTGAGAAACTGATTCTCTTCTCCCCTGGGGGTTCCTGATAGGTGTGCCACAGTGGCTTTTCCAAATGAGACTGTGCTTCAACCATAAATGAGTAATTACAACAGAACCCTTATATGTCCCTGCAGTTCTTCAAATCCTCCTGTCCCTTAATAGCAGAGGAAGCAACTTGAAATATTTGGGAAAACCAAGATAGCCAGGCTGTAAAAACTCTTCAGACTGAAGTCATCAGCCTTTGTGATGAACTCCAGTAATCTCTGCCTCCTAGTGTTCACATCTTTGTCCCCTTCTGCTTATGTGTGGGCTGGACTTGTCTCTCACAAATGGAATACAGTAAAAGAACAAAATGTGTCTTCCAAGATTAGGTAATAAAAAGGCTGTGGCTTAAGTTCTGTGCATCCACTGTCTCTCTTCTCTTTGGGGATTGCTTCCTAAAGGAGGCCAGCTGCTATGCTCTGGGGCAGCCCGGTAGAAAGAAGTCCCTGTGGTAAAGAACTGGGACCTGCCACCAGCTCTTTGAGTGAACCTGGAAGCATTTTCCTAGCTGAGTCTTTCTGCGGGCTGAAGCCCTGTTGGACATCCTGACCAGAATCCTTGTGAGATACCTTGAGTTAGAGGTCCCCAACCAAGCTGTCCATGGAAACTGTGAGATAGTGTTTGTTGATTTATGCTCCTAAATTTAGGAGTAAATTGTCTCACAGTTATAGATAACTAATACAAGATGTTCTTAACTAAGAGTAAATATAAGATGAATGTTTGAAGAACTAGTCACAATCTTGTTCTAAAAATGCACAATCAGATGGCCCTGGGTTTAAACCTCAGTTCAAACACATTGGACCTTAGTTTTCTCATTTGTAACAGGGAAAAAGAAGAATTCCTTCAGAGCATGGTTATCTGCTATGGCATACCACATGGTAAGGACTAAATAAATCTTTCCCTTCTACTTCTCAGCAGTAGACCAATATCTGTAGCATTCTTGGAATTCCTGGGCTAAGGCAGAATAGTACCTGGGCCAGTAGTCCAACAGGGGTCTGTTTCAGTCATGGGTCCAAAACACCTTTTAAATTTTTTTACTGTACAGATTTATGGGGTACAAGGTCATAAGTCAATACACATAAAGCTGTCAACCCTACCTCTCCTCCTTCAGGGCTTGAGTTTTAATGTACTTTCCAGGTTTTAACCATCAAAAGTTTAGACTCTTTAATCTTGAAAAGTGCTGACCATGAGCTGAGTGTGATGTACAAATGCACTAATCCCAGCTACATGGGAGGCTGAGGCAGAAGAATTGTAAGCTCAAGGTTAGCCTGAGCAACCGAGTGAGACCCTGTCTCAAAATAAATTTTTAAAGAAGAGCTGAGACCATGTGTAAGCCCCTGGGTCCAACTCCTAGTGTTGGAAAAACAAAAAACAAAGAACAAAAAACTAACCACAATATTAGCAGTTGAGGGAAGATTCTCAATTCTGACAAATTTTGGAACTCAAAGCTTGCTCAGAAGAGATACATGCCAGGGCAAGAGCAAGGGTGTGTGAGGTCTGCACGTCTCCACCTTGTCTCTTGCAAGCAGCCTGTCTGAGCACTGCCTTCACTGTGGTGTGGGCCCATTAGGTGCTGGATCTTGGATCTTCCTCATTATAGCTCAGGCACCACCCTCTCTATTGTCAGGGAAAAGCCACCTCTGCCACTCCCTCTAGAGGTGCCCCATGGCCCACAGCATGCTTTGCACACTTATCAGTGGAATTTGGCTTCTGCCCACTCATCTGGTTGCATCTCCATGAGTCTGGTCTTTGACACAGGCCACATCGGGAGCTAAGAGTTCTTCCGTTGCACCAAGCTCCTCCTTCCCAACAGAGGCACCGACACTGCTGGGCCTTTCTCCCTGGTACAGACATTCCTCAGGTGGCTGTAATCCACCTTTAAGCTCCCTGTCCTCTGTATGCATCTCCAGGAAGCCTGCCTGACACCCCAGGTTTGACATGGTCCCCTCCAGCATGTCCTTCCTCTCTCGTGTCCTCACACTCACTGTTGCTGTGGCCTTTTTTCTTGTCCTCGCTCTAAGATATGAGCATTTAAAGAGAAAACTGTCTTTTTCATCATTATGGAGTCTGTAAATCACCTGCATTTTCCTCTTGCTGATTTCTCAAAGGGTAAAGCTCTATATTCTTTCAAGGAGCCCAAGCTGGGCTAAGGGACCCTTCTTTGAGACTATAGCACCTTGTTGCCTTATCTCTGTCACAGCACCTTGGAAACCCTTTGGGAATTGTCAGACACCTGCATTACATACACTCTAAAAAAAAAAAAAAAAAAAAGACAACTAATTGGGCTAGGTGTGGTAGTGCACACCTGTAATTTCAGTACTTGGGAGGCTGAGGTAGGAGGATTGCCATGAGTTCAAGGCCAGCCTGGGCTACATAGTGAACTCAAGGCCAGTCTGAACTACACAGTGAGACCTGTCTCAA